TCCTTAATTTTTAGCCTTATGGACTGTTCTGAAGCTTCTGAGTTTTTAAGGCCTCTGCTAAGGGATTAAAAATTCTCGTCAATTTAAAAGGTCCGTGGTTTGATAGTATATTATGGAAATAATATTTGTTCTTTTTCAAGAAATTGCTGATTTTGAGAAATTCCAAGACAGTTTCTAATCATCAAGGAAATTTAGGTGTTAATGTTTGGAAATGGACAATTTACTTATACAAATAACAATACTAAATTAAAATTTTTTATTACTCAGTATACCTTAATTGCTATTAAAAAAGGAAAAGCAAATATATCAAGGGAGAGTTGTTGCCTGGGAGAGGCCAGCCAGTTTGCAGCCTAGAGGTCTTCCAAAGTGGTATCTCATTGAGTTCCATTCAACAAAATTTTCCCTTGGCATTGTAAGTTGTGTAACGAATATTGTCAGTCCCTGAAGGTGGTTGGGCTTTGCAAGTTAAGTCACACTAAACTGGAGTATGTGAAAATTACCAAGTTTCTTAATGTTTTTGTGCCCTCTTTTATTTATCTGTAAATGGAAATGCCAGGGTACTCAACCTCACTGGGTGTTTTAAGTGAGTTGATATGTGTTAAGAGCTTGACTGCCTAGCACTCAGCAAATGTTGGTGCTATTCCTTCATGTTATCATATTTATGATTGGGGAGCAGTGATTGGAGAGGTTTGGAGGCAGGCACCTCACTATTATTTTCCGGTAGACCACTTATTATTCCTTTACCTTGCAGATAGCAGCATTTTGATTTAATAGACTTGATTTAAGCTAATACTTGTAGTATGATTTGAGTTTTTCCTTCAGTGTAGAAAGTCATTTCAAATATCTTAATCTAGGTGAATTCCTTCAGTTATTTGATCTAATTTGTTTTTTCTTCACGTTTATTGGCAGTCCAAGAGCTCAAGCCTGGGACAATGGTGTGCATTCCCTGCATTGTCATTCCAGTTTTGCTCTGGGTCTACAAAAAATTTCTGGAGCCATATATATACCCGCTGATTTCCCCTTTCGTTAGTCGTATATGGCCTAGGAAAGCTGTACGAGAATCCAACGATACAAGCAAAGGCAAAGTAGACTATAAGGTAAGAACGTTAAAATGCCTTGAATGAGCGGGGGGTTGCGGGGGCTGGGGTACAGGGTAAAATACTTGGCTTTTGGAAATGCAAGTTCTTCAGACAAAACCTTCATTAATGTGTCTACATTTCCTTCTTTTTTAAAATAGAGATTTGGGGTTTTTTATTTAAACAGTTAACATTTGTTTAAACTAAGGTTTTAAACTAGACCTCTGATTTATGAGTTTGCTCTTTGCTTTATAGCCAAGATAATAACCAGTATTTCCTGGCTGGTAAGAGTAATGCTAAATAGTTAATAGAAGACAAGAGATGATACTAAAATAAGCCAGTTTCACTGATTGATAACTTTGATAAGATACTTAATTGGTAGGATCATAGAGTTTTTTTTTTAAACAATAAGTTATTTTTTTAATGAATAGGCAATTTAGTTGTCTTTTAGCAATGGTGCTTGTTAAATTCAACTTTGGTTTTGTTCAGCTGCACAAATTTAGCCATCCTGCACGTTTCTGGAAGTTCTATCATTCTGGACTTCGTTGTCTGTTTTTAAAGAGAATATCTCTTATAGTGTCTGTCTTTTAAATATTATTATATTATTACAACTAATATCTAAAATGATTTTTCATTTCAGGGTGCAGACATAAATGGGTTACCATCAAGAGGACCAACAGAAATCTCTGAGAAAAAGAAAGACTAAAGTGATTGTCCTAAAGGATCTCATTGTTTTAAAAATGGACCTGATGATATGAAGCACCTTCCTTGTAATTGTCTCCGATCTTTTTCTCAGACCAGAATTCAGGGTAGATAATTTAGATATTTACCTGACACTACTCTGGTATTTGTATTTGAAATGTAGTTAGTTATATTTAATTATCTCATTCCTGAGTTCCTTTTTCATTAAAGTAGCTTTCATTGCTTTTATTGCAGTTATTAAAATATGAATAAATAGAACGTTTGTGCCCGTAGACATTGTTACTTAATCAATGCCTAAAAATCCTTGGGCCTCTACCTTTTATTCAAGTTCTTCAAATTTGAGGAGTACAATTTTACTGTGAAACAGTGCAGTGAGACTGTGCTATGAAATGAAAGGTAGTTTTTGGAGATAATGAAACATAAAGATGTAATTACTGTCCAAGTCAGTGGAGCAGCTTATCTGAGAGAGTAGTAATTACTGTTTATTGCTCTGAGGAAGACAGAAAAGACAGGGAACTAGGGGAAACTTCTCTGAAAAATGGAACATCTTTTACATAAATGTTTAGTGTATATTATAAAATTCTAATCCTTGTCACATTCCTTTCCTCCTACAAATGTATTAAACATTCAGTTTAGCTTGTGGTTCTTTTTCCTTTTAATATTTAAATGTTTAAAAGGAAGGGTTTTCTTGTTTCTTGTTTTTTGTTTTTACCACATCAGAAAGCAGTATTATAATGGTGTGATGGCACTCAGGTAGTTATAGGACAACAATATTTTCTTCTTTTTTTTTAAAGAGTAGATTATATCAATTATTTTGTTGCATAACAAGATGCTCTAAAATTAGTGGTTCTCAACCAGAGTGACGTGACTGAGCAGTTCTCGCCTGGTCTGGGCCTCTCTACTTGGTCTTTCATCCCTAGGCTTCTTCACTTAAATACGTAAATATTCAAAGATGATGAGACATACCTTTATATAATATTTATTCTCTCTGAAGCAAAGAGAGATTAGAAGGGACTCCTCCCCTTGGGTCCCCAGTGAAGTCCTAGGTCCTAACCGAGGCTTTGTTAAGCTATGTATGTGTCTGGTCAAGTCATTGATCCACCTAGGACTTCATTTGATTCAAATGAATGTGTTTCAGCTTCTCTGCCCTAGCCCACCTGAGGGATAAATTCCCTTTAGCGACTAAATCCAGTTGATCTAGTTCTTTTTTTAAGATATAAAAACTATTATGAAAATAGCAGATGTTCATAGTAAAACAATATAAGAGCAAGTGAAGTGAAAAGTTAATGTTTTTTTTCTACTCTCATTCCCTTATTCTAGCTCCACAGGTATAACCAGTGTTAGCTTTCTTTTTTACCCCAGTGTTAGCTTTTCATACAGCCTTCTAGCAACTTTTTTAAAATTAGTTTTTATTAAATACATCATTTTAAAAAATCAAATAATATTGCAAGGTTTATAATGTCCCTAATCCCTTAGTTTCCAAAGGCTTTCCTCTGGGGAAGGCACAGCTCAAGTGGTAGAGCACATGTTCATGCATAAGGTCTTGGGTTCAATCCCCAGTGCCTCCTCCAAGAATAAATAAATAAACCTAATTACCTCCCCCCACCAAAAAAAAAAAATACCAAAGGCTTTACTCACTCAGCTATTGTTTTTGTCTTA